GTGCGCATGCGTGGCGTGCCGTGGATGCGACGCACGGGCGCGTACGTTAGATATTCTGGCATGCATGTATGTATGTCTTCATATCATATAATGTCGTGGGATAGAACTGATCCTGATTTAGACCATGCTTCTTTGTTGTGCATTGGCATATCTTTACATTTAATGACTTTGAAACTCTGAATTAGTTATCTCTAAACAGCATTGGTTCTATAGAAACAGAATAAAAAGAATTCATAAGAATAATATAATAAATTTTGCTAGTTTACAGTTACTTTCAACTTGCCATATTTAACTGCATTAAAATGATTGATTTGATTTTTGGCATTTGACATTTAAAAATTAGAGCTGCTACAATAGAACATACTCCCTCATATTAATTTGAACAGTTGTTTGATATTAGTTTTTCAACTTCCATCTTGCTAACACTTCATCCTCCTCAAGGAAAAATTTACAAAATAAAGCTCTGGAGCCTCAGAAAAAATTCTATAATTTTTGAAAATTTAAACATTTTAATGAACTATATACTTCTGCAATTCAGTTCAGTGAATTGTGTTTCATACCCACAAAAATTCTCAAAACCCAAAATCAAAACAAAAAGTAATCTTTTTGCAGAGTAGGATTTGAACCCCAAGCCTTAAGCTCTTAATGTAAGCCCGTCACTGACTGAACTGCTTAGCATAAAAGTGGGTTGGCATTTGGAATCTATTCTCAATGTTCATTTAATTTTAGACACCTCAGAATACTCTGTTCAAAAATTTCAAAAACTACATACATTTTGAAAACATTATACATATAATTTATATAACCGATATTGGGGTATGAAATGTATAAACGATGAAATCTCCAGCGTTAAGGATTAAGATGTAGAAAAGGCCAAAAAAGAAATTTAACTTTTGACACAATCTTCTTTTTCTCCCTCTTCCCCTTCCTTTCGTCCTCGTTACTGTTCCTTGCCCCTCCTCCCTCCTCCCTCCTCCACGGACTTACTTTTGCTGGAAGATATATGCAAATGTGGAGCTTTGCTGTTTTGTACAATTCGTATATGACTCTGAAGATTGTCTTCATTACACTGGTCTACAAAAATTAACTTTCTTTTTTCACAAGAATGAAAACAACAGATGCTATCGAAGTATTTTTCATACCGAATTCAAATATCATTTCAGCTCCCAGGCAGGAGCAACTCTAAATGATATACTACTGGTCCTGACTTACATTCTAACAATTCATTCTGTACTTAGAAAGTGATAATGTAGATTTACGGACATATACTGTGTCTGGAATATCTCTCTTCTCGGTCCAACATTGAACAGCCAACGTATTAGAACTACAATTAGAATTGCCTTAGTACAGTTTTCCATTGTAGAAATTTACTAATGAAAACGTTCGACGTGCTCATCGCTGAGAGCCCCACGATTTTCCGGGAGAAAGTGTAAGTCAGAGAATAAGAAGTGAATTTTCAAAGACCTTCTACATCCCATAGGTTTTATAAGAATCAGCTATCAGAAGATCAGCCACTATGTCAAATTTTTTGCTTTATGAATTCTAAGGAAATTTCAATATACATTTTTGAACGACTGCCGGGCTGCTTTTTGCAGTGAATTTAAAATGTTCCTTAGCCATTAATGACCACATTTGCGGTCCTAAAAAATTCTCTTTTAATTTATCATCACTTACTACTTTCGGAAATTTTGATTTCAACTACAAGAATCCACTAGAAAGTTTATCCATAGCTTTTACAACATTTTTCATTCCTCTAATATAGTATGCAATGGGGGTAAATATATTGTTCAGGATTCACTAAATGGGAATGGAATGGACAGTTTTCTGGCAAGGGGAACTTTAATATTTGTCAAACAGAAATAACAACCCTTACATGATGCTTCGATTCCCTAAAAATCACAGAAATTGCAAAAGGCATATAATCTATACAATTTTCTACCAAGATAATAGTCTTAATACACATACACATACATACATTTGGGTTCTAACTTTCTTAAGAATCACTAACTTGTCAAACAAAGTGATATTAATAACACGTTTTCCGAAGAGGCGTTAAATTTCGCCTCGGAGTCTTTCAGGTCAGCTCACCACAAATACAGCAGATATTATCTGCATGATTTACTCACGTTCTTGGCATGATGAAAATATAAAATATTAAAACAGAACTTACACAGACACTTCTAAACACAAAGGAAGGAAATATATCACTAGTGATATTCGTGCTAACAAGCTTATTCGCACCTCAATACTGACACATTACAATGCCACATTAACTGGTCTGAGCATGGCAACCAGCGCCGTCGTGACGGTGGTTCCAAAGGTGCATTGAACCACAATCATTATCATCGACAACTTCTCGATCTAGGCCAAACGGCCTGTTTCGGTTCGATGGTCCACCGTTTTCTTGGTCTCCCGGGATCTCATTTTCCAAGCCGTCGATATTCCCCTGCCTTTTCAGGAAAGCGCTGCTCCTCCATTTTATATAGATGTTGGGTCCTCTTTCGTTTATACTTTTGGATTTGATCGATTTGTTTCTGTTCAGTTTTCCTACAGCCTTTTACTGCCCTCAGAAACTTCATCTCTGATGCCTGTATTCTGCTCATTTCTCTTTGTTTCAAAATCCAGCATTCACTACCGTACCGGTATAGCAGAGTTGATTTTGCGTTACAGAATATTGTCTGACAGAATTACAACTGTGTTTCTCTCCGAGTTTTCTTTCCAAAGGTTATTTTTATGGTTCCTCAACTGGAACCGTGAGAGTTTCTTTTCTATGTTTCTTTCGTAGTTGAATGACACCTAGTTTCCTTGATAATTAAAATTGCTTACTTGGTTCAGAACCTGGTTTTCTACCTTTGTCATAGATCTTTCTTGTTCCTTCCCGCAAAATGCCATAATTTGGGTCTTAGATGTGGATATTTCACTGTTACAATATCTCGCTATTTTGCTGAGTTTGTGGATTTTGCTCTGAAGTTTATCTTCTGTTTCAGCAGTCAGAACTTGATCGTCTGACGGAATTTATAAATCTGTTTTCTCCAATCTCAATACCACAAGAAGCATAACAGTTCCATTTATTCAGCATTTCATCCATGAAAGACCATTGCTGATAAGCTACAACCCTATACTCCAAGGTTTATATTCAGAAACGTTTTGCCGAATTTGAAACCAGTGTCGATACATATAATTATTCCAGCATACAGGCTTTTGATTACTTGGATGAGATGGTAAGGTATCCCCGTCTTTATTGAAATTTCCCACAGCAGTGGTCGTCTGGCTTTGTCAAACGCTTTCACAGAGTCAATAAAGGCTATGTGTATTTCAAGGTTGTATTCTCTCCTTCTTTCTATTAGTATTTTGATTTTAAATATGCTACCTGAAGAAGAACGTCCGTTTCTAAATCCGTTTTATTGTTCACTGATGATGTCAGCTATTGGCTTCAGAGTTTCTTGTGAGGGAGTGTGTGGCATTTTTTGTGGGCATTTTTTTTTCGTTTCCAGCGTCTTCGAGATCCTCTGTTCAGATGTTAATGCCTCTTCTCCTATAGTTTTTATACCTATGGCCAAGGACTTCTGCTGCAGCTTCCACAGATCTTTGTATATTTGCCCATTCTTCTTCCATCTTAATACTTTGCAGATTCATAGTCAAATGATGGTTAATACGATGTTCATATAAAGTGCGATATACTCCAATGTTTTATTATGTTTACTTTATATGTTACTCTTTTCTCCTGAATATTTCCTTTTCTAAACGTTGTTTTCCACGGAGCCATGAGAGTCAATGTTTGCTCGTACAATAAAATGGTCAGAATTGATATCTTATCCTGTACATCTTTAACCAGATTGTTTTCTTAGTTACAATAATATAATCAATGAAGCTACGTGTTCCTCTTGCTGTCCAGGTAAATTTATTAATACCTTTCTTCCGGAAGAACGTGTTCGATATTTTTGGCTCATTGTTAACACAGAAATCAATTAACCTTCGTCCATGATTGTTAATTGTTGTTCCACCAAAGATTCCGTCATCATCAACACTGATTGTGTGCCTACTCTTGCATTGAGATCTCCTGCAATTATGACATATTTTTTTCCTTTCTCGCACTTAATAAAATAAGAAGAGAAAGTATTGTAATTGTGCGCCAGAAAACGGGGAATTTTTGATAAAAAAAACTTTATTACCGGGCCCTGGTAAATAAAAAGTGGATAAATCCATTTGCCAAATGTAAAATCAAAAAATTCTCTAACACGTGGTGTATCCAGAATCCGTTTTGTGGGTCCTTATTACCGAAAAATCGATTGGCGGCAAAACGTGTCTGTGCACAATTCTAGCGCATAAACCGTTTAGTCTATTTTCTCGAAAACTGTTATTACCCAATACTTGTAGCTGATATCGCAGACCCTGGGACTTGAAACAAATATTTTAAATTTAGGGGTACTGTTCATAAAGCCCCTAGAACATTTTCAAAACAAAAAATATGGCTCCAAATATTTTGATTAAAGTTTGTTGTTGGATAGTGCAAAATGCGTTTAAAATAATAATGCAGGTCTCATTTTTGTTGACATCCTTTATTTTTCGAAAATTGGAAAAAGATTAACTTCAAAATTGAAGATAGAGATTTTTGTCTCAGATAAAGTCTGTTGTAAAAAAACATAGCTCTTAAAAAAGGTCATGTACATTTTTTTAAAAAAACGAGTAGTTTTTGCGTATTTTGAGATTGAAATTTACAAAAAAAAATCCTTAAAAACCGCTCTAAAT